ATCTATCTATCTATCTATCTATCTATCTATCTATCTATCTATCTATCTATCTATCTGTCTATCTGTCTGTCTGTCCACCTGTCTGTCTGTCTATCTATCTATCTATCTATCTATCTATCTATCTATCTATCTATCTATCTATCTATCTATCATCTATCTATCTATCTATCTATCTATCTATCTATCTATCTATCTATCTATCTGTCTATCTAATATATCTGTCTGTCCATCTATCCATATTTCATCTATCTATCTATCTATCTATCTATCTATCTATCTATCTATCTATCTATCTATCTATCTATCTATCTATCTATCTATCTATCTATCTATCTATCTGTCTATTTATCTATCTGACTATATATCTCTGTCCACCTGTCTGTCTGTCTGTCTATCTATCTATCTGTCTAGCTATCTATCTATCTATCTATCTATCTATCTATCTATCTATCTATCTATCTATCTATCTATCTATCTATCTATCTATCTATCTATCTATCTATCTATCTATCTATCTATCTATCTGTCCACCTGTCTGTCTGTCTGTCTGTCTATCTATCTATCTATCTATCTATCTATCTATCTATCTATCTATCTATCTATCTATCTATCTATCTATCTATCTGTCCACCTGTCTGTCTATCTATCTATCTATCTATCTATCTATCTATCTATCTATCTATCTATCTATCTATCTATCTATCTGACTATATATCTATCTGACTATATATCTATCTGTCCACCTGTCTGTCTGTCTATCTATCTAATATATCTGTCTGTCTATCTATCCATATTTCATCTATCTATCTATCTATCTATCTATCTATCTATCTATCTATCTATCTATCTATCTATCTATCTATCTATCTATCTATCTATCTATCTATCTATCTATCTATCTATCTATCTATCTATCTATCTATCTATCTATCTATCTATCTGAAGCAACACTTTCTGCTCTTTTTAATGTTCATATGAGCAGTTGTCCATAAAGTGCCACCAGAGGTCACGCTGGCACCAATGCTGTCTGTGCAGTTCACTTCCCGACCAGCAGAGGTCAACAGCGTTTAATATTTAAACATCATTGCACTAGGGAGAAAAACATCAGAGATCCCGGACCGGCGCAATGAGTGGGCCATAGATAGATAACTGCACAAAAGACCACCCATTAGATTATGTTTATAACAAAGCTTTAAAATACCACCCCTCTCTCTCTCTGTCTGTCTCACTGACTCTCATCCAGCCGTTCTGTAAACATATGCTTCAAAAACAGTGAACATGAACTTAAATCATCCGATTCTAATGAGTCACAGGATGAATCAGATGTTTGCTAATGAAGTTAAAAGTAAAAACAGAGGGTTCACTGGAAAGTCAAATCCCCTTACAAAAGAGTATTGTTTGCAGACCATGGTACAGTGATGGCATTATCAGTAAAACCATGGTAGGCCTATTCATTACTCATATTCAAAGCCACTAAATCACCAAAAGGCATTTTAAATATAGTATAAACTATATATTATATGATAAAAGGGGGCTCCAGTACTCAATCAAAGCAGAATTGCGAGTAAAAACAGCTGCGCGACACGACAGCTGATTACCTACATTCATGCTGGTGGAATAAGTTAACTGGGGCAGAGGGGATATAGAGATATAGAGAGAGGATTGTACATCCCATGGTGGACAGACTGTCCGGTGAAAAAAAAGGAAAGACTTTGAACTAATGACATTGATGATGTGGGTAGGAATGCCAAGAGCTCAGCCGGGAGAGAGAGAGAGAGAGAGAGTGTGAGAGAGAGAGACACTTACTAAAACAGACAGATCAAATGTAACACCCCTCGTGTTTTACTGCAGGGGAAAAGAGGATTGAAAGTGACAAAGAAAAAGGTTACTAGAGGAGAGGAAAGCCACTGTATACATAACCCTAAACCACTGTATTTAAACTGGAAACCATGTGCTTTTTACGTTTACAGGTAAACGATTTTTGTCTGAATGCTATAACAGACAACATTTACATGTCTAAATTTTTGTTGCATGCCGGCTAGTTCTTAGGATAAGTTTGTGTCCCAACATTGAAAATAACGCAAAAGAGCTTGGATGATATGCTTATGTATGTGAATAGGCAGTGTTGTGGAAAGTTACTGTTAAAAGTTACTTTTCTAGTTACTTGAAAAAAGTAATCTGATTACGCAACTAAAGTTACTTGTAATGCGTTACCTCAGACACTATGCATACTGTAGGTAGTAGCATGTAGCATGCTATTTGGGCTATTATTAACCACAATGCCGAAGTGATGACATCACTTTTGTAGGAAAACTCGGAAAATCTTTTCGGACTTTGGAAAATCGCAAAAAATAAGATCTGTGTTCAACAAAGAGTTGTGACCCTTACACGTTTGGTCTATCAAGATAATCTTTACAAGATAATCCAAAATGTATACATTTTGAAGAGTATATAAAGTAAAAAAAAAAACAAAAGCAGGTTATAACTGTGTGTTCTAGATCAAAACGTGAAAATATTTAGAGGCTTTTTCTTCACCGCAGACCTTATTTCAGGCGATTTAGCAAAAACCCATTAAAAAATCCCATAGACTTTAGAGCGAGGGGACCGAGAGTGCTAAAATGCTAACTCACTTCCGCGTTTTGGCCTACAAAGTGACGTGATAACTTCGGCACTCTATAATAAGAAAGGTAAAACACTGAAGCTGACACATTTTTAAATGTACAAACCAAGAAATATTAAAGAGAATATACAGTATAACAAGATGCTAATGCTAAAGGCCCTGATAGACTTTAGCTCGTAGCTTGGTTCATGGCTTAAAATGCTTTAGTGAAGACTTTTTTGAAATCCCTATGGGAGAAATGAATGGGAAAAAAAGTGGGTGGGCACAGTTGCACTCTATTGGTTGAGCCAGTGTTGCAGTGTTAGGCTTAGCAGTAAAAAAATACACACTGTACCTTTAAGGAGTAGGACTGGAAAGGTCGTAAACCTGACAAACTTCAGCAACATCCAACAACAACAACCCTGAAAAACAAATGGTTCAAAGAACGGAACAAAAATGAAAGGTCAGCGAGGACACGAAATAAGTCATGGGCAAATATTTAGACTCCGTCGACTGCCTCACATCTGCCTCCATCACGATGACGTCGCTAATTGACTGCTCATCTGTTTGGCTGGAAGAAAAACAGAGAAGATAGAAGATATTTTCCCTCACTGTTTACCTTCGAGGATAAAGCCCGTTTTTCTGTTGCCCTGTGCATTGATTCACTTGTTTACATCTGCAGTTCGCATCGAGTACACTACATCCAGAAACGCTCTGTTTTGACCACAAAGCTTCAATTTCTGTGGTGTAAAATGTCCTAAATTGGCACACAATGCTCCTGTGAGAGAGAAAAGTGGCATTAGCAGTTTTCTCCTGCCTGCCAATCTGGAATGAGTTAGCCATGTTGTTTTGAGCAAGTTCTGCTTATAATTGAAAAGAAATGCCGGTTTAGATGAGAATTTTACTCCAGAGCTTGAAATTAAAAAGATAACAGTGTTATTTAAACTTTTTTATGTTCTTGAAGGGTTTTGAGTGGTTGTTAGCATAATGCTAATTATGCTGTTCTGTGTCTGGTTGCTAATGTGTTGTTAAGTGGCTAAAGGATTTTTTCTCAACGAGTCACATGATTTGAGTCTTATTCAGGTTTGTAGTATGAACAGTGTGGGATGAAAGATATTTTAGAGAGAGTAAAAACAACAAAAAAGTCACTCTTTTGTTTCCATTATTGGTTGCAGCACAGCTGTAACCTGTAAATCTTAGCGCCTTTGATAGATTCAAATAAACATGAAAAAGACATGCTTAGAGAGATGCTGTATTTTTTCTTTAATTATATTGATAGAGAAATGCTAAACACAATTACACAAAGCAGAAAGATTTTTTGGGGTGTTTTTTTTTTTTTTTTTTGTCTTGGTTAATTAAATTCAGGAAATTACCGGTGGCATATTGCCAAGAATGGTGACAATTACTAGGTTTCCCGCAATTTATGTGGAGGTATTTTCTTAAAGGCCAAGATGTTTGTCATTTAAACAGGCAATTCATTTTTGCTCAACACAAAAGAAGATATTTTGAAGAATGTCGGTAACCAGACAGTCGATGGACCCCATTGACTTAGTATTGTATTGATAGTATTGACCATAAGATATGATTGACCATAGTATTTACTCAATGGGGCCTGTTAACTGTTTACTCTGCTCTGATTGGTCAGATGACCCAGTCTGTTGTGATTGGACTACTCTGCTCTGATTGGTCAGATGACCCAGTCTGTTGTGATTGGTCTACTCAGCTCCGATTGGTCAGATGACCCAGTCTGTTGTGATTGGACTACTCTGCTCTGATTGGTCAGAGGACCCAGTCTGTTGTGATTGGACTACGCTGCTCTGATTGGTCAGATGATTCAGTCTGCTGTGATTGGACTTCTCAGCTCTGATTGGTCAGATGACCCAGACGCTCAGATGACCCAGTCTGCTGTGATTGGTCTACTCTGCTCTGATTGGTCAGATGACCCAGTCTACTGTGATTGGTCTACTCTGCTCTGATTGGTCAGATGACCCAGTCTGTTGTGATTGGACTACTCTGCTCTGATTGGTCAGATGATTCAGTCTGCTGTGATTGGACTTCTCAGCTCTGATTGGTCAGATGACCCAGACGCTCAGATGACCCAGTCTGCTGTGATTGGTCTAGTCTGCTCTGATTGGTCAGATGACCCAGTCTACTGTGATTGGTCTACTCTGCTCTGATTGGTCAGATGACCCAGTCTGTTGTGATTGGTCTACTGCTTATAGCACGTGCTGGAAATTAAAATTCCATTACCATATCTGGATTTCATCTCCAAAGCTTCCTCAGCACTTGATACACTGTGATACAACAAATACATTTTTTGAGAGCGGGTCAAAGTTGTTTACAGGTAGCCCAAGAAGACCATAGGCTTCCATTATGCAAATCTGTTTCAAAACTACATATGTTTGTAACAGGAATTGAGACCGGAATTACTAACAACTCGTTCCAGGCAGTTTAGATTTGATTCTTTCTTTTGGGAGACAGTAACTAAGAAAAAAATAAAATTAAGATTTTGGAAACTTTGAAGACCTTGTACTTTCACAAAAAAGGTAATATCCGAAAAACCATAATAGACTGATGTTTGTAAAGAAGAATGCTGAAATGTGTTGATTTCAATAAAAATCAACAGCTGGGAAAAACACCCAAAGTTAGAGAAACCCTGAGTGTGGCTCCATGTTTGTCTTCTGTATAAACTTGCACACTGCTGTTTTCCATAGAGGTGTGTGACCTTAAGAAAAGAGCAGACTTTAGTCTTTAGACTAAATCGTTTTGTAGGAAATAAATTCTGTGACGTACAAGCTAAGAATTTGCCGGGGCCCCACTCTGTGCTCATGGGAGCTGTTGGATTGATTAAAACAGGTCCTCTTTGAACTGTGCAACAATTTTCCTGTTTTTCAGAGTAAGTTTCCCCTCGGGAAACCAGTTCGGATGACTAAGAATGGGAATCGAGCTCGTTTTGAATAAATACTGTCTGGATAGCACAGCACAAGCGTCTGAGCGTAGCAGAACGCTGAAATGTTAGCATCAAAACTAATGGATCTTGACTTAAGTATTTGAACAATTAAAATGAAAGCTTCGTATCCTCAAAAACACAATAAAACAGAAGCAGTGATGGAAGAAATAACGATTTTAGGAGGAACATCTAGTTCCTTTCCCCTGTCAATTTTTCGGATCTTTCTTGACAGCCCCCGTTAATAAAATATAAATATATGGAAATAAGTACTATATAGTATATAAATATGTGTGTGTATTAAAATATGTTGACAAATCAGTACAGTCAAGACAAGTGTTAATGTCCAAGTCCTATCAAAATATTATGAGTGAGTCTTTTGCTTTTCTTTCCTTGTTTACGCTTCCTTTGAGCATTTGAACAATCATGAGACTGACTCATCTGGTGTGTTCAGGTCACTACATTATGAAAGTTAACAACAGAAAAAACACCTTAAAGGGATAGTTCACCCCACAAAAATGTGTCATCATTTACTCACCCTCATGTTGTTCCAACCCAGTAAGATTTTCTTTCTTCTGTTGAACACAAAAGAAGATGAATTTAATCTGTCGCTCATAAATCCAGTCTTGTCGCCACCTACTGGCGTATCGATGTATAACCTGCAGAAAAGGGTTTGGTGAGTTGTAGTTATAGTGATGATTACCTTAATCAGAACTCCTAATAAAGATAGCACAGCTGTAGTCTTAATAACCTGGCATTTAAGTCCGGGTGAATCATAATCATTTAATTTCAGCTTGGAAATCTAAAAAACGGTCATTACTGCTAAAGTACAGGAACACAGTGATCCCGTTACACATAATTAAGATCCCACGGAGAGGTCGGAATGGATACCACAGTATTAAAATGGCCAAGGGCAGATGCCAAATAAAATAGTTTATTGGTCAGAGGAGCCACAAACAGTCAGTCTCATTAGTGGTAACAGAAGAACAGAGGTCATTTACATATATGGTGGAAGTCTTAAAAGGGCACAGTATTCAATTGAATCTTCTAGAAGAGATGGAGTCTGGTTAGAGGAGTGGGAGGCATGGTTGGCCTTCTGGGACACGGGCTGTATTAATATTTGATATTCGTTTTTCCACTGTGTCCTGTGAAACGTGGCGGACCGTGACTGTGACTGGAGTCGTTGTGGCACGGGGACTCGGAGGACAAGCTGAAGGCCAATATTCACTTACTGTATGTTCTCGGGAAAGGTCAATGTACAGCATACCTGAACTCCCTCAGAAAACGACCTACTGTATGAATGTAAAGCAAAATACATCAGAAGTGTAGCTTAATAGCAAAATATACCTGTTAAATTGTACCCTTATATAGACTTCAATACAGAAACTATAAAATCTATACAAGCCACTTTTTTTTTGTATCGCCTCATTCATGAAATCATAAGAAGTGATGGTACAGTATGTCTTTTTAAAAATCTAGTTAATGTATATGAAAACTCGGACATGCACAGTACTATACGTTTTATACTGTAGCTGACAATACGTTATTTAGCTGTAAATTTCCAAAACAGCAAGACACTGTATTTTTACGGTATGATGCTGTCAACCATAAAGCTAATTTACCTTTTTTTTTTTTTTTACAGGATTATTTTTTACAGTATATTTATATATGATATCCGTTGGTAAAGTCTGGTCTGAATAAAGGGGTAACTCGCGGGCATAATGTCCTGACTCGCCCTTGAGAGTTGAGACTGTGCCCTGCTTCACACACACACACACACACACACACACACACACACACACACACACACACACACACACACACACACACACACACACACACACACACACACACACACAAACGACACAAACGACACAAACCCCTGCTGCTGTGACCCCTGCTGAGAGAGTGAAGCCATAATGGACGATACTGGACAAGCCATCAACGAGACCGAGATGGGAACAGGACTAGCGGAAGTGTGAGAGACATACACACACGCGCTCTATATTTCTGCTCTTCACACACCTTTGATTCCAGTATTGATCTTTTACCTCCATTCGTCCCCAAACACCATATCCAATCTCTCCCAGAGACTCCCACTGATCTGCAACAGTCGAATATCATGTGCTTCAAATCCATGTGTGCTTGTGCGTGCGCGCGCGTGTGTGTGTGTCTTAGATAAATACAGAGTGTTGATATGGTTAACTAAAACGTCAACTAAACGTTCAAATTAAAAAATGTTTCTGGTTGAAATAAAGCTGAAAAGCAATCAAATAAATTAGATAACTGTAAGATGAATTATGAAATATTAATAACTCAAATAGGCCTAATATAAATCGAAGAATTAGGCTACTAAAATAAACAAATACTAAAATAAAACATAAAGCTAATTAGAGATAACTAAAAAGACACAAAACAAGATTTTAAATTTAAAATGAAAACTGAAAATATAAAAATAAAAGTTAAAAATATGAATATTATAATACTACTATAGTAATAAAACACTGTATGACTGACCAGTGAATAAGCATTTTAGATAAGAAGGTGCTTAACATTCAGAGAATTAATATGAAATATTATATAAACAAATATGATATGAGCTGGTTTATTTGCTATCAATTTTCTTTGAGGTTTGCCTCAAATGCTCTTTTTTAACTCTAAAATTTGAGACTTGCTTGTACAATTTAATTCCTGCATTCTGTCTTGTGTTTTCATTTTTTTGTAATGCAAGAAAATTTTGGGAGAAATTAAAATCACAAAATTTCAATTAACAGGCTTCTACAAATAATAATAATATTATTTTATAGTGCCTTTTCAAAGCTCAAAATTGCTTTACACAGTTAAATTGGGGGGGGAAAGATCACAGACCAAAAGCAGTAGAATTTACAGAGTGTTTAAAATGGTGTTTTGAAAGAAAGAAAGAAAGAAAGAAAGAAAGAAAGAAAGAAAGAAGGGAGGGAGGTTTAATTTTGTTTCTATGACACTGGAAATACAATAACTTGATTTGAAGGGTAAGATGGTAGGCCAGAATCAAGTGTTACACACAGTGGTCCTCAGTCACCTACTTTCAGAGGCCTGCATTGAATTATGATAGCACCGGTCGGCCCTTTCATCAGCAGACTGAAAAAAAAAAAAAAAATCAATTGAGCTGGAATGAAAAGTGAGGCCGGAGAGATGTAGTTGAACTAATAGCCATTGGCAGACTGAAGGCAGTTGAGAAAAAGAGAGAGGATGTAAAAGTGTCTTGTGTAACAACAGTCTTTCTTAGCGATTTGGAGTGAAGTGGCCATGAAATCATTGAAAATACCAAAGACAATACAACAAAACGGTTTAATATCTGAGGGAAAGGCCAATCTCTAACTAGTTGACCCATGCAGACTCGAAGTGATCACTGCTGCCATTTTCTCAAATGAGTTTGTACTGAGTGCTGTGTTGTTACTGAAATGGCTAATGCTAGCACAGTGCTAGTGTTGATGCTAATGTACTGAGGAAAAGAAAGCGGTTCAGAATAAGAAGTTCAATTATCTGTGAAAACGACCCAAGTTCTTTACTTTTAAAGAAAAATCCCTGTTGATAGCACAATTTAGCCTAGAAACTTAACCGGTGTCTGGGAAACTGGCTTTGCGGTGTGCACATTTATTGGCTAACAAAACTCTAAATAGACGTGCAACATTGTTAACACGTCGTGAAGAGATGCCAGGCCTGGGAAAGCGAAGGTTGGATAGAAACATCACCTTCCTTCGCTGTAAATGAACCGCTGGGCAACAATAAATGAAATTTTGCTCTTTTTCTGTTTTTGGGGTGTGTAGCGCAGGGACATGACAGACAGCCTTGCGTGAGAGTCAAGCAGACAGTGCACAGGAGCCCGCGGGTTCCCGGAGAGGAGATGACTCGACTCATCCTCACTCCCAAACATGAGCAGACACCTCAGTCTGGGGCCAGAGCCAGGCGGCGAGAGAGAAAGTTACATCCTTTACAAAAAAATACTGTGGTGATACCATGGTATCAGTGAATCAGATCAGCAATACTGTAGTATGATGAATGCCAGAATATTGAATCATAAACAATGTTTTTACTTGGTTAGGTGCTGTACCACAGTAAAAAAATAAATAAATAAAAAAAAAAAATACAAGCTAATATTCACCTCACTGAATGTTTAGCTAACTTTTAGCTTCCTAAACTTCAAAACAGATATCACATTTAGTCTGTGTGTTGCTGCTTGCTAATATCACATTCACATGATATAAAACACATCAAATCCAATCCAAGGACAACACAACTGAATATTCAGGAATAAAATCCAATAAATAGGATTTGAAACCACTTATTTACACATCAGCAGGCGTTAGCTTGGTAGCTAGCTACTTTTTACTAGCTGCTAGCTGCCAGTATAACATAACCCTGGGTATGAATATAATATATATCCAAAAATTAAGAGTATAATCATGGTACTATATCTTAAAACCATGGTAATTTTCTGTGTTATGTGGTAAAGTAGAAAACATTTCAATAAATACAAACTGTCACATAACTGTGTGCATCTGAAAACTGTTTGTAGCATCTGAAAATAGTTGAACGTTTTATGACAATGGCATTTTGTCTGACATTTATTAGGGAAAAAAAAAAAATGATTTCTGGAAAATGTCTGAATTTAATTTGTCTTGAAAGGATTAAAAACTCCCCAACCCTGCTGAAATCCCGCGGGACTAGGTGGTAGCTGGTTTAAAACGGCTATATTGCACTTTATGGTCATTAGCTGATCTAGATGGCTGATAGGGTTTAAAAAAAATAAGGGTGAGTAAATTAAAACTTTTAGGCAAACTTTTCCTTTAAAAGCAGTGAACACATTACTAATAAATGCTAAATGGTTGGAATGCTAGTCTTTCTGAATATTAAAAGTGATCCTGGTGCACCACATAGACAGAAAAAAAAGCATTTTTTTATGTTTGCTTCATACAAAGATGTACCCAATATGTATGTATGCTAAACTTTGAGGCTGTAGTTAGACTAAGCAAGGAGAAGGTCTTGTTTAAATAGGGACATTTTAGCTCTTACGATCGTGCCTTAAAAAAAACATTACAGGTGTGCATAAAAAACATTTATCAGTGCAAGTTGCTTCCAGTTAAAACATGCATTTTAGTCTGGTATAGACTTAGCTGTCTGTGAAACCGAGAGTTTTAGTGTTGCTAGCTTAGCCGCATGCTAACACCAAACTCTACAGGAGTCAAGTCTGCAGTGTGCTTCCTGTTTAGGGAGTTCCAAATCAGTCACATAAGGTTCACTTCCACTTACTGCTGCCTTAGAAGGAAGCTATCTAGCTAGTAAGCCACCCACACATTTCAATCAGGCGCTAATCTCAGATTGTAGCAGTTTAACTGACCACACTTGAAATAAGTTGTATATGTATGTTGAATAATTGTTCTTTGAATTCTATTAAGTTAATAACACATTCTTTGACTTGGCCTATTGACCTTATTTTTAATCTATGTATGTATTAATGTATTTTAACCGTACTAAAACAGTCTGTTATGCTACTTGACATTGCAAACTGTAAACAATATAGGTTACCATATTATTTCAATGTATTATCGTGATTATAAACACTTCCATTCCTTCTCTTTACACATTTCTAACGCTTGTGTCCCTTCCTCTCTAGCCCCGGGCCACTTCCTCTTCCCATTCCGGTCTTTCTTTCCCTGTCTGGCTCTATCTCCAGGGATCTCTGTTCCCCTCTCTCTACATCTCTGTTTTGTCTGCTTCTGCTGCTATGGCTAACGGGAGACGGAGGAGTGTTAGCATTACTCTCGAGCGACTGATCATGTCACAAGTGTACAGAAATCACACACCGATACAGAGAAAGAGAGATTTGTATTATTTAGAAGCTGCAATCCACTTGACAACACAAATATAAACTAGGCCTGAATTTTCTCTGCGCTTGCTAAAGTTTTCTAGGTAGATTTTAGCATTGGATAGTGCGAGAAACAGACTGAAATTTAGTTTTGTTGGTGAATAATCTGTCTTAGCTCGACTTCCTGTGGCACTTGCTGACTTCTTCAGGTGGGAGTTTGTGTAGTCTCCTGTGGCGATCTGGCCCACCCCTATGTTTGTTTGCTTTCAGCCAGCCATGTTCTTCACACCATGCTAGGTGTGAAAAGGAGCCATTTCGTTCTCTCCGTGGCACGGTCAATACAGACTTGAGGATAAAAGCGCTGAGAGGGAATGTTTGAATCTGGTGAGACGGCCGCATTTACACCAAGCCGAATGTAGAAAAGTAAGACGTTGTGGGAAGAAGGAGGCGGGAACTGGCGAACATTCAAAGACTTTAAGAATGTAAAATAACCAAACAACAAAACGAAAGACTGCTGTCACAAATAATAAAACAAAACACAACATAAGTTCAGGCCTGTTCCTCTCTCAATCTTCACTGTCTTCGCTCCTCCTTTTATGCTTCCGCTCTACCGTGAGAGATACGAAAGTTGCGCAGATGTCGCTAATTATCAATTACGCCACCGGCCTCGCGCCACACACAGTCTCTCTGGGAACTATGAACAGGAATCTCATTTAAAGGTAAAATAAAATTAGTATTTGTACAGCAATGAGTAAATGTGCATTCCGTAGCAATTTCACCACTAAAAACGGAGAAAGTTTACGCATGCTGCTAAACTGCGTTGTATTAGCGACTATTATGTAATGTAGCTGTTTCAAAATTGTATCATTCACCAATCAAAAGATTTAGAGCTCTACATAGGCTAGACAGGTTACGCAAATAGTGTTCATGAAGAGAAGAAAGATTTGATTCACAGTTGACAAGTTTTAACATTAGCATGTTGCTAAGCTAACACTAATACTAAATTGCGATAGACTTTTCTTCCCTATTGTGACGTATATCTGAGTAAAAAGCTTCTCTAACAAGAAAAAAATGTAGGGCGGGACTTGATTTTGTCCAATGGGAATTAATTGGATCGTTGTGGTTTGCTATTGGTCGATCAGTAAACACGTCATCAGAGAAGAGATGTTGCTGCGCGAGAGATTGAAGTTATTTTGATTAGCGAGTTAGAAGTTTAAAAATCATGATGTGTGCAGATAAATAATGTATAATAAATGCTGCAATATTCAATAAAATATAGGAATAGTTGATTCTGATGGTTCATGGTGACTCATGGTGGTTCATGGTTGGTGGTTCATGGTGACTCATGGTCTACGCTGTGTTCGCCTGTAGGACACACCCATCAATATGTCCCGCCCTAAATTTCTGTTGAAACAGGAAACGTTAGCCTGTACTGGTAGACGCTGTAACTTTATCTAGGTATAACACCTTGGTTTCAGTAGAAAATAAATACAAATTGGGATCAGACGAAGAGAACATTTGTTAAATTTGTTGGGGCGGCAGTCTACAAACCAGAAGGTTGGTGGTTCAATGGTTCAATTCCATCATTTACCATTTAAATAGGTAATATATGCAAAATTTGAAACCAAGATTTTTTTTTCAAATGACAAGATTTAGAAGAAATGATCGTGAGACCTATTGTGATTGCACAAATTCTTTAATTAAAGGACCAAATTGTACATTTCAACAAGCAGTCAAATGACAAAAAGACAGAACTGCATTTGTACCTATCGTCTCGCCTACTTTCAGTGTGTTAGAATATTCAAATAAATCCAAATGTGATTTAAAAAAAATCAAACATGGAAGAAAAAAAAAAAAACATGGCAAATCATTGACATTTCTAAACAAATATTAAAACATTTCAATTCTGGAAAATAAAATTGACCAGTATGGCACCATGTTTTTTTTTTTTAAATTTTATTTAAAGTGTAAAACTTCTTCGTAAAATATACAAACAGAACACATTACCTGAAAAAATTATACAATATTTACTCCAAAAAACATCTCTCTAGAAGCCTACATCTTGTGCCGGATTAAAAAGTAAAACCTGGTTAGGTTGCAGTGCTCTTTAAAATAGTGCTTACGACAATATGAAATAAGTTTTTTGACTATTTACAAACTTGTACTCTTTTGTAAATGATTGTCATATTGTTTTCTCATATACGTGTTAAAGAAATTTCAATTCATAGATGAGCCAGTGGTAACTCTTATAAGAAATGTCTGTAAATACAGCGTATATATGTATTTTAAAAAGAAACGTAAAAACAAAGAAGCTGGCCTGGAGGTTCATTTTCTCAGTGACTTCATAATACTATTAACAATTAACACTTTTATTCATTAAACACCTTTCAGCACCATATTGTTTTTCTTTTTTTAACTGCTTTACAATATACTCAACACATTCAACAATGTAAGCTTCCAGAATCTCTTTTCATAGACAAATACCCTGCTCTTGAACTGTTTTTTTTTTTTTTTTTTTTTAGAAATGCATTATTGGTAAGTTACGAACAACATAGTCTAATGACAAAAGCATAATAATTTGTATTAAAATCTTAATAGTAGGCATGTACGATTTTCTTTACAATGAGACAAATCAAAGCGAGTTTGTAATATATTACATGCAAGTTGGCTTGTACAAAATCAACCAATTAAAAACAATTTAAAGTCAATAGAACATGTACAAGTCAATTGTACGTTAAAATTTGATGACATTGCCCGATTCTAATTCAAATTATTGCGCCTTCGTCGCGAGACTGGGTTAGTTCTGGAATCACTATACACATGAACACCTGTATCTAAAAGGTAAGTTGATTTGTAAAGTTGATCTAGAATCATCTTTCCATAATCTAATCTCACAAAATGTAACAGTGAGAAGGGTTCAGATCTACATGTGACATCTACAGCGAGAGAAGTCTCACTCTTTTTCGTACTGCTAACTGCTTTATAATTGACGTTAAACAGTCGGTTACACCCTTGCTTTTTTCCATAAATAAATATGCATCCCAATCTTCTATTCATATAAACATCAAAGTCATTTACTGCGATTCAGGACAATCAGTTTTGCAAGAGCTATACGTTGCATGTGCTCTCGACGTGATTTACAGTCACGCAAGCATGATTTTTACGAACAACATTTGTGCAGCTCGTGTTCATTGAACGTGGCCCAGTGATTGGCGATTGGCGTCGACACACTCACACGTACATACCACGCACCTGATTTTCTCAACTGCATCTGCCAACTGGAACATTTCCCTACATCTCACAAAGCAGCAGTAGATAATGACACTTAGAGAAAAAAAAGAAAAAGAAAAATCAATGAGAATACCATCACATTATGTTGGGTGGATTATTTTGATATTCCAGAGGTCAATCTGGCTCATTTGAATTTAAATTAATGTAATTCAAGTTGGTAAGCAATTCAAGTTTTTTCTTTAAAAAATGTTTTGTTTGATAGTCTTCTCGTGATTGATGGCATCTCTACGGACGGATCTTTATCAAGTGTGTTCAGAGGTATAAACCAGTAGTCTGAGGGTCTGGGGGAGGTAGGAGGGGCTCAGGAAGGGGGTGGGGACTGTTGCCGGGTGTGGCCACTGCATTGCCGTTGGGAACCAAACAACTTCCTGAGTAGGCCACACTAGTGGAGTTGAGTATAAAGCCTGTCTCCATCTGAAAACAAACAAAAACACAAAATGTTAGAAGTGTTTAGCTAAAAAGCTAGCTAAAAGTGAAAAGGTGCGTTCTCGCCATGTCGCAATTATGAGATTCTGACTTGTAAAAAGCATTCACTTTCATGTGGAACACGATTTATTTTTGCCATTGGTTTGGCAGAACAACACGTGTTGTCATCTCGTATTTACGGCATGGTTGCGAATGCAGCAAATGTATCTAGCTAAAAAGGTTAGAGTGAATCTCACAAATGAACATTGTCCTTCAAAATTTCCAAAATTTGAATATAAAATGTGCCACGTGGCTTCTGTTAGGTTAGCTAAACATAGCTTTTAAGAGTCATATAGTTAGGGTTGGGTATCGAGAATCGAGTATCGATTGGAATCGGGACTAACTTTTCGTTTTTCCCGGAATCGTTCAAAAGTAAAAATTTTGATTCCTAGTTTCGATATTCACAGTCCGCCGAGCGGAAGAAGAAACCGCTGAACAACACCAACGAAGAAGCGTCTACCGGAAGTGTTGGCATAACCGCGCGAGTCGAAAATGAGTAGCTTACGTCGGCGGTCCAAAGTGTGGCTTCACTTTTCTAAAAATAACAAAATCTCAGCAAAATGCAACATTTTTGACGAAAGGAGTATTTGTGACAGAAGGAGTATTTCCTTCGGGAAAGGATTATTTCCTTCAGAAAGACCGTTGGTTAGGAAGGTTAGCTAAACTTTTTTGACCCTGCCTCTTAAAAGAATTGGAATCGAGAATCGTTAGGAACCGGAATCGAAACAAGGAATCGGAATCGGAAACGGAATCAGAATCGTTCAAATTCAAACGATACCCAACCCTACATATAGTGTTAGCCAACCAGGACAACTCATTAGCTTAAAGGAGAACTCCAGCGCAAAATGAACCTTTGGTCTAATTAATTACACATTGGTACCAAGTTGATCGTTCTCTAAGATTTGTTTTCATGGTAATCGAATGTAAAGAGTTTTATCTCTAAAAACTGTTAGAGTATAATGCTAGTATATGGGGGCATATAATAAGTAAAAAGAAATCGGTTCTTAATATCACTAACAAGGCTCAAAATAGCCCCACACTAACACAGTAACATAATGAGGGTCCCTACTTCATACAGTTCAGCTCACTTGGCACGTTGTTCGTGGTTCGACCCGTCGAGACTGTTTTCAAAAGATGGCTGCTGCCTGTATACACGCAGTGGACTGTCTTTATAAAGTATCTTCTTATTAAACGATCTGTACTCTTACAAAGTTCTCAATGCTTAATTTTGAATGCATGGACCCTGATTATGTTACTGTGTTAGTGTGGGGATATTTTGAACCTTGTTAGTGGTATAAACTAGCGATTTCTCTTTACTTATTATATGCCCCCATATACTAGTGTATACGCTAACAGTTTTTAGAGATACAACTCTTTACATTAAATTATCATGAAAACAAATCTCAGAGAACGGTCGACTAGGTACCAATGTGTAATTAGACCAAAGGTTCATTTTGCGCCGGAGTTCTCCTTTAACTCATTAGTGACTTCTCTAATTTTGACCTAAATTATAGAGCTCACTTATGCCACTAGCGCAGTGGTTGCTTATTTAAGTAGGTTAATAATGGCAGCTGGACAACAGATGTTGTATTAGATGGGGTCATTTAAGGTCTTCAATGCATTCGTCCCACTCCGAGTGGGAGTGGAACTGGTGTTTCCGGTGCGGGAAATGGGTGTGTTAACAAGGACACTACAGACCGCAGCCATTAGTGTCAGTCGCTAGCTCGCTTCTTGAGTCTAGGGGAGTGAGGTTTAAATGCAAAACTCTTACTAGCCTACGTACCGTTACACATTCAACAGGATCACATTTAGAAACACAAACTAATGCTGTTTTTAAGAAGCTAACTCATAAAAAATAACTACATTCAACATGCTAACCAAAACTAATCTTAAAGATAGACTTTGAAATGCATTCATAAACTTGGTTTAGCTTCATGACAGCAATTCTAACCCTCACTAATAATTCTGCTCATAGTTTTAACATGGATCAACACCACAGACAAGACTTGATATAAGCAATTACACGAATAACAGAAAATCTTTCAAGAAATTGAACAACTCATCATTCATTTATTCATATATTTTTGGGATGATGTAGGAATGTGCAGATGATAAGTATATCCCTGGCAAAATCACAAAGCTCTAATGGCTAGTATTTGAAAGTACAGTTTTAGTATGCATGAGGTAATGTTGATGCCGGATTGTAGGTCATAGCTGATCATGCCTGACTGGGCATTTAAGCTCTATTCTCCTTTCAGCTGAGAGCAATGACCCTGAATACAGACACATACCCAAAGCCCAGAATTTAGTGCTGGACATTGACTGAATTGTCTCCCTTTCACTTCTCTGTTTAACATCCTCAATCCTCATTCCCATTTCCAAATTATTTCTATCCATATCCCTCTTTTTTTGTCAGCAAAAGTTGCTCACATTTTCTTATATACAATGTCAGGTCGTTGAAGTGCAACTGCATGATTTGTCATGTCAAAACAGCCCACCACAATTCTCTGTAAGAGTCTTTGAGGTCTAGACTCTGGCGGGTGAAGTGAAAGTCTAAATGCTCATAAAAGTAATAGCACCCCTCTTCCTCAACAAGCCACACAATTTTAGATACAATTTATGTCTGAAGCACAAACAACAACGGATGTGTCGTGCACCAAGCACTGCTTACAATCAACAGAAAGCACAATCCCTATATGTGGAACAACAGCATGGTGCCCTACATGTGGAAAGGCAAGACTGTCTGGATAAATGAGTGCAGACAGGGGCCCATGGTCTCAGAATATTGCCTGCTGCATGAGCGGTCCTTTTGTGGAGGCTTCTCTTCCTCTATCTCTCCTTTATAGCCTTGGGCTCCCCATTTACAATAGACTAGATGCTACAGTTGGCTGCCATCAGTACAGCGGAAAATGCTGGTGGGTTGACCTGGCTGGAAGCTTAAACTCTTAAGATGAAGATTACACTCTTAACCACAGTCACCATGATAAAGCAACACAGCAGGCAAAGCAAACATCCACCTGTGTGGGGCCCCACAGCGAATCCCCAGAGACTGACAAGACTTTCTAGGTCTGTCACTGTGTATTATGCAATCTCAACACATTAGATTTGACCCATCAGATCTTGGTCTCTTATAGAGAGCACAATTAGGTCAGAGTGAGCATTTAGGCCAATGGAAATAAAGAGATAGAAATATGGAGGGGGTGGAGTGGGCCGTGTCAGGGTTTAGACCCCAGACTATCTTTAAACTACTATCCTAGACAATCCAAGTTGTCTCAACATCACATGAAGATTGTAAAGGGTGGTCAGAAGGAAGCATACCATTACATGAAATGTTAGAGACAAATTTACACAATTTGTAGTGTTATCCATCTATTGGACTGGGTTGGACTGGGATAGCTCCTAGATACCATCTAGTGACCCGGAAGATTAGCTTGTTATGTGTGTTAAATTAAGGTTAAGGCTAATGCAATATCTTTAGTTTCCCTGATCTTCGTGATCTCTCTGATCAACCCATACATTTTTAGGATTAGGGGCTTGAGCAACATTCGTATCAACCATTCATTAACAATCTGAAATCAGGAATTGGGGGTGTACTTCGGGTTGTGGTTAAGGATAAGTTTTGGCCTAGCAATGTTGATCCAGGAGCTTGTCCATCTTGGTTAAATCGCACTGTGCGACTACATCCTTCTTTAATTCTTACCTTACTGTGGGTGGTGTCATGGGTCAGTTCAGAGCCATAATCTGTCAATGAGGGAAGGTTTGAAGGTGTGACTAATCCCAGGATATGCTCCAGAGAGGAGTTCTGTTTGGTATAGGAGGCGTAATAATTGGGTGCAAACTTTGGCTGCTGCTGCTGTTTCTGATAACCCTGTTGATGGGACGAAGACCAAGCCATGGCTGCCTGAAACTGCCCTGCATCCACAGCTGAACTGCTGTTCATTGTAAAATCCACCTCTGAATTGTCAGTCATATTGCAGTCAACATGGGTACCCAATGTCTGAGTGTGTGCCTTTTGGCCATTGGGAAAACAAGGTCGATTTGAGACCAATTGCTCTGTGAAGTTGTATCCATGCCACTGGGGATCGTCGTAGACCCCATTCGGAGGGGTGTCACTATCTTCAACTGTTTTCTGTTTATACTGGAATGGGACAAGCAACTGGTTGTGCTGCCATTGCGGTGGCTGTGCTTTACTAGTTATCTTGTCACCAAGTTTAGAGTTCAAGTTGGCTTGTGAGTGTTCAGAGACCCAATGACCATTGTGTTCAACTGGTACTGAGTTCACCAACAGTGTATCATGCTGGTTAAAAGCAGGAGTCTCAGAGTCTGTTGTAGACGCCTGGTTCCAACTCTCGGACTTGTGGCAAACCGACTGGCCATTGAGATGTTGCTGCATACGCTGTGAGAGATGAATTATGGGTGCTATCTGTTTTTGAGGCCAGAAAGGGATGTGAGGAGCAGGTAGTGAGGGTAGTGAGTCGGGAGCAGAACATGGCTTCGGGGGTTCAACAGAATCTGATGCTGCGGCATCTGCCGAGTCCTCTATCCGGTTCTCCAGAGAGTCGTGGACGTAGGAGAGGATTTCATTATTGGTGAGAAGATCATTCAGAGATGGAATGTAATCCGGTTCCATCTCTACTTGGATCATCCTCTCATCCAGAAGCAGCAACTCCAGGTCCTCTGCGTTGAGTCCAAGATTTTCCAGGGCACTGAATAGCTCACTGTTAGAGCAGCTCTCCTCAGTTTCCAGGGACAGAGAGTCTAATGTTGCCAGTAGTGGGTCAAAACTTGATGGCTCCAGTTTGGAGACTACGGTTACACCATTCTGCACCGGATTCCAACTTTCATTCTCGGAAGAAGAGAAAGTGCTAGTCTCTCCTTGCTCATTGAAGAGGCTACTGTGGAATGACATTCTTGGCTCCATAGCAGGCTGGCAAACATAAACAGACTCGTCCTGTCTCATCATGGCTCCCAGCAGAGAACTTGGGTCCACGTCATCCTTTGAGCTTTTGTCCACCTTGGTCTTTTTGGTTTTGTTGTTCTTGCCCTTGCCCTGAAGGGTGTCGGGGAAGCCTGGCATGGGGTAGCTGATTTGGTACAGCATTGCTTCTCCAGTTGCAAAGGTGAAAGGATGCATAGATCGCTTCCTCAAATGCTCTCCGCCCTCTTCTTCTCTGAATAAATGAATAAAAGAACTTTTTCGGTGGACGTGTAAAAAGTACTTTCATCAAACTCTTGCTAATTTGCCATGCTATTTAACAGTTCAAAGGTGGACACTAGCATGCTAATGAACTATTTTGTATTCTGTTGACATAGATGGGTATTAGACTTTTACTTACACAAGCGGCCTCTGGGTGGCAATGATGTAGTCGGGCTTGCCATTTTTGTAGACAAGTCTAGCATTAGCTTGTACCCATTTCCAACGGTTGTCCTTTGTAAGCAGTCTAAACACAGTCAGGCCACTTTCTCCAGTCTTGATCACTGCAAAGGACAATGCAACAGTTTGTAAACCCAGTTGAAATGTATAGACCAGATCTTTATATACTTTATATAGACCAGATCTCTATAGACTGATCCATATTGAATACTGGATTTAGGGCTTAATGCAAGCTGGCTTTTCTCAGCGACAAAGAGCGTCAAATCGTTGGCGTTTTGGATGGCCGTTTTGAGCGTCAATCAGAAAGTTGAAAAATGCTCAACTTTATGGTAATGAGCTGTGACGCGTAGGGATGGGTATCGTTAAGGTTTTATCGGTATTACTACTCTTACCGATACCGCTTATCGATCCGGTACTTTAAAGGTATTCTTATCGGTTCTTTTTGGTGTTTTTTATTTATTTATTTATTTTTTAAGAATTAAGAACATAATTAAACTCTATATTTTGAAATGTAAAATAGAAAAAGCAAAACGAAGAAAAATATATTTTTGTTATGCAGCAATGTGCAGGCTTTTTTTGTTTTATATACAGTACAAAAAGGACACATAAGAAAAAAAAACAAGTACAAACACAAGAATACAATTAATCAAAGATACAAATTAAATACAAAGTGCTTTAATTTCAGGAAGGTGTACTAACATATCTTTTCAGGTAATTGTTTCTGTCTGAAAAGAAACCTAATTTAGTAATCAAATATAAAATAGCACTGTATAGTTTATCATAGATAGATTAATGCTTATTAAATCTAAAGTTACTCATTCAAAAGCTGTGAGTGATTTTCTCTGCCTTTAGTTGTTTGATTTGCATTAATGGCTGAATCGTCAGCACGTTTAGGCTATTAGACTGCTGCCCCTTTAAGACCGAGAGCAAATCTAATAGGTAACTGAAGCACCATCATTTTCTCCCTATTATTTACGTCCATTTAAGACATAATTGTGTTTAAGTGAATAAACTGTGTTTAAGTGAATCTCAGAGCTGGTCATTTTGACATTTTTATGTATATTTGATAGTTAAGGACACACGAAGCCCAAAGTATAGGCTACTTTTCTTGTCTCGTTGCAGTCCGTTTCGGAGCGCGCACCGCCTTGTGAACAGCGTCTCTTGCGCAGGCTTTTGTGTTTTTAATAGCCATTTTTTGATCTTGCAACAGTAGAAGACAGCATTTTGCAACAATCGCCGATCGTGCTGATTGTGACGGTACGTTTGGGTTTTAGGAAGAACTGACAGCGCTCCGCAGTGCTGTGAAGTAGGCTAAAGGACGTTAAGCTGGACAGATCATGCGTCTTGATTTTTAACGGTTTTATCTCAAATATCTTCTTTTTATAATCTTTGGAAGCCGAAATACAAAATATATTAGAATAATATCCCACATCTAAAGTGTAACCACGTTGAATGTTTAGTTCTGTCCTCATTGTCACTCATTAAGCAAAGGCTGTCGTGTTGCGCGTGCTGTGGCTTTGCGTGAGAGATCGCTCTCTCTCTCTCTTCTGAACTGCGAATTTCAAATTTGCATCACAGACAAATGGTTTAATTAAAATATAGTTTATATATAGAAAAGGCTGGCGATATAAACATGTTCAAGATAACGTCTTTATAGGAATGATAAATAATTTCTCCAGTACCGACAGCAGAACCGATAACGTCCGAGCTTATCGATACAGCGGTCTTTCAAAATTCAGTACCGGGGCCCGTTTAATACCGGGTTTCGGTACCCATCCCTAGTGACGCGGTTCAGCGGCAAGCAACGCCTGCAACCAATCGGAAGATAGACGTCCTTCACGCTGGCAGATTCCGGAGAAACATGAATGTAAACTTTCGTTCCAAAACATTAGCTCCGAGAAAATGGAAGAAAAGCTGTGTTTCCTACGGGTTTCGTATCATTTATGACATGACGTTGTTTGCTTATAGGGACCGCATGAGCGCAACTTTTATTTTGAAATATTTACGAACGCTCGTTTTAAAGCGGGATTGCAATTAATTTGCTCACGGTGACACTGATTTGACCGCAATAATAATAGCTAACTATTTTTTTCCCTGACCAAATGTGACCAAAATGGTTATAAAAATGCTGTCATTATAAAAGGTTTCTTCAATGTATTGCTTGTTTTTTTCTGTTTATTACATTTCATGTTGTGACACTTCTATTCTCCCAGCAACGTCAAAGCGTCCAAAGCGTCAACAAGCTTCCCCGTACTTTTTGACAAGCGTCCTTGACAGGGCGGCCAGAGCTTTTTTGACGCTCAAGTCGGCGGCGGTGTGAACGTACAGTTATCTTATCTATTTGTGGGAACCATCTTTTGGACATTCATCATATTGCATTGGTTTTCATTTCTTGTCCTCAAAGAGAGCACTAATTGTTTATTTTTATGTATTTTATGTATAATAAAAATAGCATTATTATAATTAATTACATGAATTACTCAAATGTAGTAATACACTAGGTGGTATATCCTGAAACTTCAGGCATTTGCCTTCAGCATTTTTGTTTTGCTTTTCCCTCCATTGTACCGAACTGTGATGTCTGAACCGAGGTATAAACCGAACCGTGACTTCTGTGTACCGTTGCACCCCCAGAAAACATTCCTCTTCCTTTCTCTCGCTCTGTCTATTTGACTCTTTTGTACGCCACTCTTGCGGTAAACCAAATTCACCAAATCCACACACATCTTGCCCATAAAATTGACTATCAATCCCCACACTGAATGAGGGGACTGTCACTTCTTCAAGTATTTGTCTAAGCAAACAGGGTCCTTTATTGTCACTATAGTTCATTTTAGACACCAAGCCTTTGGCAACAATGTCAGCATGCATCAGCAGAAAGACAGTTTCTGAATCTTAATCTTGGTTAATTGAACTTGAAGGTTAAATCCAACTTTCTTTGTGAACGGAGCAATAAAACTTGGAGATGACGAATCTGAAGAAATCCGAATATCTTACTCCTGACATGGTTCTCGGCGCAGTAGAGCATGTCGGCTGCATGGATGAACTGATACCCTGAACCTCGAACTCGCAGCTCTGCCTCTGTGTAGCCAAGGACGATTTTACCCCTAAAACACAGGCAGAACCAAAATGTACCATTTAATATTGTATTACGAAGGATATAACTAGGATAAAAACACCTTCACACAGTGCATGTTATTTTGTATATATATTAAAATAATTGATCATCATTACTTAGCATCACAGGCCATTGGTGTGAAGTCCAACTTGTGTTTGGTTCTGAAAATCATGTTCTTGGTTCGGATCTCCATTATGGAAGGAGGCTGTAGGGGCGTTGCTATGGCAAAAAGGGCGAGCTGGGGTGGCATTTGGCCTCCGTCATCCAATCGTCTGTTCTGTCCATGCAGGAATTTCAGACGCCCTAGAAGATTCAGGGCCTTAAAGGGGCATAAATGAAAACACACCTTGAAATATCTACTATACAAAACAGCACAACGTGAACAAATATCAAAGTGGAATTTAATATTCAAAGAGGATGTATTTATTTAAACCTAAAAATATTTAAAATTAGGGCTGTCAAACGATTAATCGCGATTAATCGTATCCAAAATAAATGTTTGTGTTTACATAATATATGTGGGTGCACTGTGTATAATTATTATATATATATAAATAGACACACATGCATGTATATTTAAGTAAAAATATTATTTATATATAAAATATTTATATTTATATATAATATAAATTATATATAAATCTATACAGTATACATGAAAATATTTCTTAAATATATACAAGCATGTATGTGTATTTATATATATAAAATAATTATACACAGTGCACCCACATATATTTATTTTGGATGCGATTAATCGTGATTAATCGTTTGACAGCCCTATTTAAAATACATGGCAAGTACAACAAAAAGACTAACAACAATATGCCATGCAGAACAAACAAAAACACAAACAATGTCATATTACATTTGCATGAATGCACATGAAATGCATATGTACATACACAGCTGGAGCTAATAATTTTGTTGACATACCCTTGGTGAACCACATAATTTGTCTCTGACTCAATGTGGCAATAGAGTTCAAGCTAGGTTATCTATCAATAAAGGTTGTACGACCTGTCTAGAATGTGTCATACCTGAATGTTTTCATTTTTTTGTGACTCGTTACTAAACCTTACACCTTTTGTTCTGATTGGTGGAGATTATGACATCACGAGTGAGTATTTTATGTATGTCATCTGTGATTTATTTAGTGTCATCTATAAATATGCATACACAAAAAAAAAAAAAAAAACACTACACATTTCATGCTGGAAGGCACTCTCGACAACCTATTTTTCATGTCATTCTGTTTCTGTGTGAGCTTTTCCTTTAAAGGAGTAGTCACTTTCAAATTCACACTCAAGTCATAGGTTGTAGATGACTTTAAAAAAAATATATAACTCTGATTGTAT